TATATATAGTATATAATAATGATTGGTAATAATTTTAATTATAGTATCGATAATTTCAAGAAACATTTTTGTCAATCTTTCAAACAGAAATCTTTACACTTACTCTTGTAATATCGTTTTCAAAGCAAACGTTTTCCGTTAAGGTAATGTATAGCGTAAAATACAATGTAAAAGATCGTTCAATGACTATGTTGGAAAATATGAAAGAGGAAAAATATCTCTCTTTCTAGTATATTCCCCTTGATCGTGAACAATAACATCAGAAATCTTTTTCCTCGTCAAATTTACTTCCTTATATCTCCCCATCTCCCCATGTCGAGAGGACTTGCACGCAGCACGCAATGAAATTCCAAGAACTGCAATTCACTGCCGTGTTACTAATAATGAAACGGCCAGCAAGTAGAAAGGGTAGGAAGGAATCAATTGCGTTCACGCATCTTCATGAGCGAACGGAAAACGCACATGCGCGTGTCAAACGGCTGACTATCAGTTCACTGACGCTCAGTCAGTTGCGTGCATCGTCGCGATTTAGTCATCAACATGCTCGATCATCCCAAGTCGAAGTCCGTCGAGCTCGTGACGGACAACTGGAAGTATAGCATTCAGATGAACCGATGGTTCCTGAAACCGATCGGCGCGTGGCCGTTGACGCTCTGCGAGACCACGTCGGAGAAGCTCGGCTGCATGATTTTGACAGTGGTCAGTTGTTTCCTGATATGTTTCCTGCTCGTGCCATGCACTCTCTGCACCATCCTGGTGGACACTGACCTTGATACCAAGATCAGGATGATCGGTCCGACCAGTTTTATCCTGATGGCTGCGGTGAAACAGTACATCCTCATCGCCCGCAGTGAAAATATCAGCGAGTGTATCCGACACGTACGCGCGGATTGGAATCATGTCGCGTCAGGTCGCGAGAAAGATCGGGAAATAATGCTAATCAACGCTAAATTTGGCAGGTGGCTCTCTTCTTTCAGCGCGATCTTCATGTATTCCGCCGGTATATTCTTTACAACAGTGATGCCGATTTGCGCGAGGCGGACCGAGATTATCGACAATGAGACGGTGAGATCGCTCTCTTTCCCGATCTACCGTGGTCTCTTTGATCCGAGATCCACGCCGTCTTTCGAAATCGCGCAATTCACTCAAGCTTTAGCCGGTTACGTCATTTACACAATTACCATTGGAGTGTGTAGTCTGGCAGCTGTATTTGTCATGCATGCTTGCGGCCAGTTGCGGATACTTATGCTGAAGATGGACGATCTTGCGGATGGAAAAGAGAGGAAGAGTGCAAGTAATACACATAAGGGAAGGCTCGGTGATATTGTAAAACATCACATGAGAATACTCAGGTAACATGTGCATTAATTTTCATCTTAAATATGACTTATAAGCGCGAATGATATACGAAGAAAGTTGCTTACTTCGAAAGAATGAAATGATTTGCTGATAATAATCCTACGAAATATCTGAATGCCGTGATGTATATATATAATCATAAACGTTATTCCTTGCATCGTAAATTTTCACTATGGATTTTATGCTAGTTATTATCTCGACAAATTAATATATTATTGTATGTTAATTATTATATGTATATATAATGTAAAAAAATTTTAACTTTGTTTTTTATAATTTTAATCATGCATCTTGCAGTTTTATCACTCGTACTGAAGATCTTTTAAATGAAATTTGTCTCGTGGATGTAGTTGGATGTACGCTCAATATATGTTTTCTGGGATTTAATATGATGACGGTACGAAACATATTTGCAAATAATATTTTTAAATAATATGATAAAATTACGCTTTGTATTCATGATGCTTTGCTGTTAGTTTTTTAGGAATGGGAACACCGTGAAACTTTAGGAACGATGACATTCTGTTCGTTACTCATATCCTTCACATTCAATATTTTTATCCTTTGCTACATTGGCGAACTTCTCGCAGAACAAGTACTAAAGTTATTACATAACACAAAGCTTTTATTCACTCATTATAAATATTTGATATAATTTGATTTTCTTAATAAAATATCATAGAGGATTAATATAATTTTAATTTCTCAGCTTTATAGTTAGATTTTTCAAACCAAAAAATTATTTTTCTATTAAATTTGATTTTGTCTAAAAAAATCCAAATTTTTTATAAGAATTTTATAAGATCAACAATAGAATTGTAATAAATGTATAAGAACTTCGTGTAAAAAAGTAACATTAATTTTTAATAGTGTATACAAATCGGTATAAAATCTTATATGATAGACTGGTATCGCATACCGAATAAAGGTGCACTTGGTTTGACATTAGTAATGGCTATGTCCAACGCCACAATCAAACTTACAGCCGGAAAATTTATGGACTTATCTTTGGCCAGTTTTTGTAGTGTGAGTAGAAAAATTATTAAAAGTACAAGAAATAAAATTGAAATTGAAAATTGAAAATTGAAATAAAAAAATTTCAGATCGTAAAAGCGTCCGTGGCATACTTGAATTTACTCCGTACGTTTTACGTCTAATACGATGGCATCATTGTTATGGGATGTATTATAGTAATGCTAGCAATAAAAAATATATTTAATAAAAATTAGATATACGTAATGCATGTTTGTTAATATCATGTTATATAATTTATCGTTTACATAAATGTAAGTATTAAATAGAACTTAGTACGATTAAGCAGAATTGAATTTATTTAGGATATTGAAATTAAAATTGTGAATAAACTAATTTTCTCAATGAAATATAAAATTATAAATTCTGTCATATGAATTATTACGCAAAGTATATAGTTATGTCCTGCATGCTATTCTATTTATTGAACTTTCAACGTTGCGTTACGTACTATGGAAATAGTGGAATATATCCGCGTAACTATGTCAGAACTCATGAACTTCATGTCCTTACTTACTTTTATGTATCATCGACATGATGATTCTCAGACAGTGATAGAGGAAGGAGAGCAACCCTTCATGTACGTGCGATGTCCCCCTCACTTTGTTACGCACAACAGATATGACGATTACAATCGATGATTCTTCGTATTCCATATCCAAGTTTATTACAAATATATTTTTTAATAAATTATTAAAACTGGTTGTATCATTACATATGCAAAAGACAACGATATATTTGTGTAATCAAACATATATATTCGATAATACATTCTGTAAAAAAATATCATATTTAAATATGTCATAGTTATGTTTCAAAAATGTAATATGCATAAAAAGCATTATGCTTAAAACCTTAATTAATTGTTGAATAGATATTTAATTCGATATTATTGTATTTATGATATACTATATAAATATCAGGATCAACTGTATTATTAGTAATATATATTATAATTTTTCAATTATAAAAATTATTATGTTTAAAAAATGGCAGAAATAAAATTTATAAAATTAATTAATTATCTTCTCAAGAAAGAATTAAATTAAAGTTATTAAATCCGTACTTTCTGAAATTAGAATGCATTTAATGCAATTGAACAAATTAAATAATATTACTATATTATTTATTATAGATTTTATTACTATACATTCACAATTAAATTTTATGGATTTTATTATAAATATTTTCATATAAAGAATATAATAATATCCTTTTTAAATACACTGCAACATAATACAATCAACTTATTTTGGAACAAGTTTCATGCGTGTATCGATTGGACAAAAGTTTCACCCCTTTTTTTTTAAACTAATCGATGTGAGCACAGACATTATGTTATTCAACTTCTACTTGCTATATTTCGAACGTATAACCAGACAAAGAGAATACGACTATTAGAAAATAAAATACAGCTATAAAAAAAAAAATAAAATCTTATCATATGCATTTTAATAAAACTAAAAGGGTGTATGAATTAATGATAAAATCTCATCTTAGAGGTCTTTTCTTAAAATTTTTTTCAGACAAGCATTTAAAAATATTAATGTTTTTATCATGAATTAATATGAACTGTACAATTCATTAATAATTAATTTTGCATGCGAGTTATATTAAAATACAAAAATGCAAATATACAATTCAATTTAATTATAATGCAATAATGTCATCATGTGGCTGAAATGATCTATATGATAAATTAATATCTATCATGTGGAAATATATTGCTCCCAATCTTATTTTAAGATCAAAATCATTGTTGAAAAAGGAATTAATATTTCTTACTTTCGATGATGTAAATACACAAAATTATATTTTTCAATTTGAAGATATGCAGCACACATAGATTGTATCGAAAATTTTTGTAAATAAAATTAGACAATATGATTAACAAAATAATTAAATTTTTATAATTCAGGCTTAAATATATATCTCTACATAAATACAATAATTTATAATTTTTATATATTTAATAGATTATAAAAAACAAATATTCATGTAATTAAATAAATAAATATAAATTAATAATATATTAAATAATTGAGTAATAACAATATTGATGCAAAAATATACATAACTTATTATTTAAATGTGAAATTTAATTATTTTAGCCATTTTTTTACATTCAATATATATATATATATATTTCGCAATATGTAAATATTCTCTTGAATAAAATGAATTATTGATATTTAATCTTACTTTTGGATATAACTCTCATATAGATAGATATGATCTATACAATATAATTGCATGTTCATCGTGATAACCAGTACGTAGAACTTCAGACTTAAATATCGATTACACGCTGTTTCTACCTGTTGCCGCGACAGCTGCACAGCTGTTATCGCAATAATACACAAGATTGTAAGAACTGTCATATCATACGCCCCGTGTTCAATGTCTGCGCACGCGCTGACCGTTACTACTGCCGACGCGACAGCGAAAAGATAGCCGCAGTAAGCTGGCTACCTTCGTCAAAAGATCATGGAGAATGATTTTACGGACAGCCATAACGTCTCCACGTCCATGTACATGGCCGACAAGTACAATGAATATAGTATCCAGATAATGCGTTGGATCCTCAGGGCGATTAGTTTATGGCCACTTTCCGTCGACGCCTCGATCATCGAGAAGATTTGTTCCGATTTTACGATATGTTTATGCTACTTTTTAATGATCGTCATTATGGTGCCGAACGGCCTGAGTATATTCATTGAGTCGCAGGAGTCCTATGAGACCATAATACGGAACATAGGTCCAATCACCTTCTGGTTCATAGCCATGGTGAACTATTCCTGTCTTCTGATGCACATTGACGACATACGTGCCTGCGTAGAGCACGTGAAGGCGGACTGGCGAGTCATGAGTAAAACGCAGAATCGACAAGTGATGCTGAAAACTGCCAGAATAGGTCGATTCATCACCGGTTTTTGCGCCGTGTTCATGCACAGCGGTGTGTTCTCGTACAATGTCGCTCAAGGGCTGTCTAAAGATATTTTACAAGTGGGCAACAGCAGTATAGAAGTTCGCGTATTACCTTATCCCTTTTACAGCAAGATCCTGGACACACACTATAGTCCAGCGTACGAGTGCATGTTCTTTGTGCAGTGTCTCTCGAGCTTCGTCGTCAATTCCGTCACAGTCGCCACGTGCAGCATAGGAGCAGTTTTTGTTATGCACGCGTGCGGCCAACTGAGAATCATGATGTCTCTGCTTGAAAATCTCGTAGACGAAAGAAATGAAGAAAAAACTTCTGTGAAGCAAAGGTTCGTAATCATCGTGGAACATCATTTGAGAGTCTTGAGGTGAGTTATCATTTCTAACATAATATGATTTGCTATAAATTTAATATTTTCTATTAATATTTACCCGCTACCCATATATCTAATCCAATTCAATTAAAGAATATCATAACTTATAACTTTAATGTCAACAAATACTTAGATAGAAATAGAAATGTTATGTGTAATTTATCGAAAATTATGACAGAACAATTATAATAAACACAATGATATATGTTATACTTGCAGTTTCGTTTCCCGAATAGAAAAAATTATGAATATTGTATGTCTTGTGGAATTAATCGGATGTACTATGCATATATGTCTTGTAGGATATTATTTCATTCTGGTACGAAAATTTTTTCCGGAATATAATATTTATAAATTGTTATTTTACTATTTGTAAATCATTTGACTATATTAAATATATTATAATTTGAAATCTCTTTTTAGGATTTGATTCAAGGCAAGGACACAGAAAGTGTTGTCTCGTATTCTATGTTATTATCTTCGATCACTTTTAACATTTTTATATTTTGCTACATTGGGGAGACTCTTTCAGAACAGGTAACACGTAAAATTAAGAAAATAAAAATTAAAAATTTCACATTTTTACTCAGAAAAAAATCGATGTGCGGCGAAAGAATTTATATTTGCAAAATTAAAATTTATTTTAATGCAATATCGCTAGTTTTTTTTAATCAAATTATAACAGGTACAAAACGGCCTTTAGGGCGGACAGATTGGCAAATCTGTCTATATGACAAATTGGTATCTTTTGCCTGGAAAAACCGCCCGTGGGCTCATTTTAATAATTTTAAGATCCAACGCTGACCTCAAGTTAACTGCCGGGAAAATTGTCCAGCTTTCATTTTCCACTTTTGGTGATGTGAGTACGCAAAAACATATATATTTGCAATCTATATATGTATAAAATATATATGTAATTTTTATTCATATAAAAATGTTTGCTCGCATTATTAAAATTTTAGATTAGCTTTATTAATATTTATTAATGCCAATAATTTAGCATTATTCATCCAGATTTGTAACATTCTTCTAATGTATCTACATAAATATTTTATGTCATAAATATTTGTCAAGAAGTAATGGATTTTTTGAGCAAATTTATGTAATTTCTAATTGCTTCAGGTAATTAAGTCTGCATTAGCGTATTTAAACATACTTCGGACTATACTGATTATTAAATAATTATATTATCTCGGCATGAAAAAGATAACTATACGCAAAATAGGATGTTTACAATAAAATAAAGATAAACAATTATTAAAAACTTTATGTAATGTTTTTTAATGTTGAACAGGTACCTATTATTCGATTCACAAATCAGAAATTAATAAAATATTCTGTCATTCATCAAATCAATGTGCAATATAGATTTTAATCATAATAATATTATAGAATTTTATAGAATCAAAGATGTAATATATATATCTTGTAGTGCACGTACAAGCACATAAATTTTACTTACAGATTCTGAAAGTATCAATGATACATGTAACTACGTTTCAAGCAAAATTATTTTATACATTATTTATATTCATTTTGCATATGTAAATGTATTACATTTGTAGAAGTAAGTTAATTTTTAGTATTCGATGTATTCGTTCAAACTGTTCAAACTTTTTATACATTGCATATAATAATGATCAATAATAGTTTCAAGAAATATGATATCTTCACGAATTTTATATCCTACAAAAAAAATTTTATATCTTACATTTATCATTATGCCACTATTTCTCAAAAATGCGTTTCCCGTCAAAATAATCATACGCAGAGGTTGCTCGTTGATTATGTCAGAAAATATGAAAAAGAAAACGTGTATTCCAAGTACATTACATATTCCCCCTTGATCACGAACAGTAACGTTCAAACCCTTTATTTCCTCATAAAATTTACTTCCTTCCTTGCATCCCCCTAAGAGGACTTGCACGCAGCATACAAGGAAGTTCCAGACTTCGCATCGACGCCTCACTAATAATGAAACAGCCAGCAGATGGAAAGGGTAGAAAGGAATCAATTACGTTCACGCATAAGCGTTTATGGACAGATGGAAAAAGCACATGCGCATACGGAACATACAGACGATCAGTCCACTGACGTGTCAGTCAGTTGCGTGCATCGTCGAGATTTAGTTATTAACATGCTCGATCGTTCAAAATCGAAGTCTATCGAGCCCACGATGGACGGTTGGAATTACAGCATTCAGTTAAATCGCTGGTTCCTGAAACCGATCGGCGCGTGGCCGTTGACCCTCTGCGAGACCACGGCGGAAAAGCTCGGCTGCGTGATCCTGACGATAATCAGTTGCTTCTTGATATGTTTTCTGGCCATCCCGTGCACTCTCTGCACCATCCTGGTGGACACGGATCTCGATACCAAGGTCAGGATGATCGGTCCGGTCAGTTTCATACTGAGAGCCGCGGTGAAACAATACATCCTCATCAGTCGCAGCAAAAACATCAGCGAGTGCATTCGGGAAATTCGCACGGACTGGGACCGTGTCGCGTTGAATTATGTAAAAGATCGAGAAATAATGTTAGACAAGGCAAAATTCGGTAGATGGCTCTCCTCCATCAGTGCACTCTTTATGTACTCCGCTGGCATATTCTTTACCACGGTGATGCCGATTTGTGCGAAGCGAACTGAAATTATCGACAACGAGACGGTGAGATCGCTATCTTTCCCGATCTACCGTGGCCTCTTCGATCCACGAACCACGCCGTCCTTCGAAATCGCGCAATTCATGCAAGCTGTAGCTGGTTATGTTATTTATACAATTACCGTCAGCGTGTGCAGTCTGGCAGCATTATTCGCCATGCATGCCTGTGGCCAATTTCGGATACTCATGTTAAAGATGGAAGATTTTGCGGACGGAAAAGAAAGAAAGAGCGCGAGCACTATGCATGAAGGAAGGCTCGGCGATATTGTGAAATATCACATCAAAATACTTAGGTAACGTATTCATTTCTATATTATCAGGTTGAAATTGTTATTTACGTATAAAGAGTGCAGGAGAATGGAATAAATTGGAATAATTTGTAGATAACAATTTTTTCCATAAAATACCAGAGTCACAAAGATGATTTTATGATGAACAATTTGGTGCATAAAAATTTTTATAACTGTTCATTAACAATTTTAAGATAACAATTTATAACAATTTTTATCGGTTGTCAAAAATGTATTTCAAAAAATCAAAATAATATAAATTTCAATCATTATATGTATACACATAATTAAAAAATATTTCAATTTGCACTCTTAATTCTAATAAAATTAATAAATTAAATTAACTTACAGTTTCATTACTCGCACTGAAAAGCTTTTAAACGAAGTTTGCCTCGTGGATGTAGTCGGAGGTACGCTAGATATATGTTTTCTGGGATTCAATATGATGACGGTACGAGACATATTAGTAGCTGATATTTTAAATATGTCATTAACGTAATAAAATTACATTTTATGTTGATGTTAGCCTTTTAGGAATGGGAACATCGTGAAGCATTAGGAACGATAACGTTCTCTTCGTTGCTCATATCATTCATTTTCAATATTTTTATTCTTTGCTACATTGGTGAACTTCTCGCTGAACAGGTATGAATTAATTATAATCTCTTCGGTGTCTGTAATTATCCGAGATTTTATTTGAAATATTCTTATTCCAATAACAATTTTTTTCATAAAATATCAGGCTCACAAAGATAATTTTGTGATGAACAATTTTGTGCATAAAATTTTTTATAACTGTTCATCAGCAATCTTGAGCTAATTCTTATTGCAATAATGTAAAAATTAATATAATTTTAATTTCTTAACTTTATAATTTAATCTTTTCAAATTAAAAGGCTACATTTTATTAATTTAAATTTTTTTACACGCAAACACACACACACGCATACACTTGATTTTATATAAAGAAATTCAAATTTTTCATAGAAACTTCATAATATGATTAACTTTAATTATCAAACAAACTATAAGAATTGTTTTCTTTCAAAAATAATATTAATGTGTTTTTAATAGTGTACGCAAATTGGTATAAAGTCTTATATGATAGACTGGTATCGTATACCTAATAAAGGAGCACTCGGTTTGATATTAGTAATGTCCATGTCAAATGCCACAATCAAGCTTACAGCTGGAAAATTTATGGATTTATCCTTGTCCAGTTTTTGTAATGTGAGTAAAAAGATCCATCAAATTATTTATACTATATATAAAAAAAAAAATTGCAGATTATGAAAGCGTCCTTGGCTTACCTAAATTTACTTCGTACCTTTTATGTTTAATATAATGACATCATCATTACGGGATATGTTAAAATAATTGACGCTAAAAATATATTTAATAAAAATTAAGTGTACACTAGCATATTCATTAATAAATCATTTTGTATAAATTATCGTTCACATGTAAAAAAAAAGTGTGAAAGCTTGGAGTAAAATTAAATTTATTAAAATAATGAGAAAATAAAAGATTGTAAATTAAATTAATATTCTCAAAAATATGTTAAATTATATGTTTTATTTCAAGTTGCTTGAATTATTGTAAAACGTATATAACTATATTCTATCTACTAATCGCAATACGGTTTAAATGGTATTTCAACGTTGCGTTACGCACCACGGAAATAGCGGGGGCGCGTATATCCATGTAACTATGTTAAAACTCGTAAACGTACCTATGTATTTCCACTCATCGTCATCGACGTGACCCTCAGACATGCAATGATTGAAAAAGGGGAATACAACCCCTCGTGTACGCTCGTCGTACCTCTGACTTTGTTAGACACAATGGATACGAGACGCGCCTGCACGCAATCTCGGAATCATTATTTCCTCGCGCTTGCGTCGCCACACTGACATCGGACCCTGCTGTACGCGTATTTCAGTCAGCGTTGCATCCCGCGGACGACAACATGCGCGATCGATTTCAACTTTCAGACAGGATATATAATCGTCATTACGAGCACGACATACGTTATGCCATGCAGCTGTGTCAGTGGATCCTAAAACCGATCGGTATATGGCATATGATCTATGGCCGTTCGCAAAGCGAGAAATTCCTCTCGATAATCCTGATTATCATAAGCTTCTTTCTCCTGTGCTTCGTACTTGTACCTTCCGGCCCGTACATCCTGTTCCGCGAGAAAAACATCGACGTAAAGGTCAAATTAATCGCCCCGATTGGCTTCTGCTTAACTTCCGCGATCAAGTATTGCTTCCTCGGACTGCGCGGCTTGGCGATCGGACGATGCGTCGAGCACATCGAGAGAGATTGGCGGGTGGTACGATATTGGGATCATCGCAAAATGATGTTGAGGAACGCGTTGGTGGGTCGCAGATTGACCATACTGAGCGTGCTTTTCCTTTACTCGGGCGGGATGTCCTACTACGCTATTATGCCATTCTCCTCCAGGACGAAGATAAATGGCAGCTACACGAGTAGACCACTAATTTATCCCGGATACGATCGTTATGTCGATCCTCAAGTCAGTCCCGCTTGGGAGATCATCTTTTGCATGCACTGCCTGTGCGCTATAGTACAATTCACCGTCACGACGGCAGCGTGCAGTGTGGTAGCGATATTTGCTACGCACGCGTGTGGACAAGTGCAGATATTGATGACGCTCTTGGACGATCTGATTGTGGGAGAAAGAAATAAAGATACTACCGTGGAGAAACGTCTGAGCTTGATAGCGAAGCATCATGTGCGAGTGCTAAGGTGAGACAAAAATGGAGAAAGTGCTTCAATAATATATACGCGTTATATTTGAACGCGTTTCTAGATTTACGGCCAATGTGGAGGAAGTACTACGTGAAATATGTTTACTGGAACTGATGTCGTCAACCTTGATTATATGCTTGCTCGAATACTACTTCTTAAAGGTAAGAAGATAATGAATATTATAAAAAAAAATAGTTTTTATATTAATAATAGATTCTATTACACTCTTCGATATGGTTATTCGTTTAATATTATATAATTATTGTAGTGAGGCAAAGAGGACCTTCCTTTTTCATTAATCAATTATAAATACTTATTTGTTTATCTTCTCAGGAATGGGAGAATAGCGATGCCGTGGCTATCTTCACGTATTTTATTTTAGTAATATCATTAACATTTAACATTCTAATCTTTTGTTACATCGGCGAACTCATTGTGGAAGAGGTATTTTTTATAATAAAAAAGTTTTCTTATTGACATATCTCTAATTATATCCAATTTTTTTAGTAAACAATAAAAAATTATTTAAATATTTACATTTTTATTAGTTTAGCAAAGTTGACTTGGCTGCGTATGAACTTAATTGGTATGATTTACCAGGCTATAAGGCTGTTGATCTCGTCCTGATCATCATGATGTCTCATTATCCACCCAAACTTACAGCTGGCAAGATTTGCGATTTATCTCTTGATACTTTTAGTAGCGTGAGTTTCATAAGTATTACTACTACTTATTTTAACTTATTCTCATATATAAACTATGTTTTTATAAAATGTACTATTGTTGTTACTATTATTAATAATTTGACATTTCCAAAGCTCGTGTTGCTTTTAGGTGCTTAAAACATCCCTTGCGTATTTAAATTTACTTCGGACAGTGACGTAATAAAACTTACACGGTTTTGTTTATCATTCTTGGTAACATTTATGTTACATGTAGAAATATATTTTCTCAAGAAATGTATAGCAATTGATAATAAAATAATGTGTATATATAATTTTCATTATTATTCACCTTAAAAGAAATAAAATATTAATATATAAAATTAACTTATTAATACTATTTAAATTACAATTAATTTATCATGAGATAAAAATATATAATGTTGAAGATAATAATTTATTACATTAGAAAATGAACAAAAAAATAATTAAATTGTAAAACAATATCTAAAATATATGTTTATATATCACATGTTACATATAGATAATATTTAAAAATTGCAAAAATAGTTACTTCCAATACGTCACTCACAAAAAATATCGAAACTATGCAATACGAGCAACTATATTAAAACTCGTAAACTTTCGATCCCTTCCCACTTGCACATCACTGCCTGAGCTCTCGGATAAACTATGACCAAGAGGGAAAATCAATTATCCGCGTATGTATGACTGAGTACATTGTTGTATGTGACAGATATGAAACGCATATACACGCAATGCTGGAATCATTACTTTCCCCGCGCTTGCGTCGCGAGAGACGCAACGTCCGCGTGTTTTAGTCGTCGTTGCACTTCACGAGTGACAACATGCACGATCGATTTCAACTTCCAGACAGGATATATAATGTTCATTACGAGCACGACATACGTTATGCCATGCAGCTGTGCCGGCGGATCCTGAAACCGATTGGTATCTGGCATATGATCTACAGCCGTTCGTCTCAAAGGCAGAAATTCCTCTCGATAATCCTAATTCTTATAAGCTTCTCTCTTCTGTGCTTCGTACTTGTTCCTTCCGGTCCGTACACCCTGTTCCGCGAGAAAGACATCGACATGAAAGTCAAACTATTCGGCCCGATTGGCTTCTGCTTAACTTCCGCGGTCAAGTATTGCTTCCTCGGAATGCGCGGCTCGGCGATTGGACGATGCGTCGAGCACGTCGAGAGAGATTGGCGGGTCGTGCAACATCGGGATCATCGCAAAATGATGTTGAGGAACGCGTTGGTGGGCCGCAGACTTACCATACTAAGTGTGCTCTTTCTTTATACTGGCGGGATGTCCTACCACACCATCATGCCATTGTCCTCCAGGACGGAGATAAACGGCAGCTACTCGAGTAGACCACTAGTTTATCCCGGATACGATCTTTATGTCGATCCTCAAATCAGTCCCGCTTGGGAGATCATCTTTTGCATGCACTGCCTGTCCGCTATGATACAATACACCGCCACGACGGCAGCGTGCAGTTTGGCAGCGATATTTGCTACGCACGCGTGTGGACAGGTGCAAATATTGATGACGCTCTTGGACGATCTGGTTATAGGAGAAAGAAATAAAGATACTACCGTGGAGAAACGTCTGAGTTCGATAGCGAAACATCACGTGCGAGTGCTGAGGTGAGATGAAAATGGGGAAAGTTCTTCAATAATTTATACGCGTTTAAACGCGTTTCTAGATTTACGGCCAATGTGGAGGAAGTACTACGTGAAATATGTTTAATGGAATTGGTGGCGGCAACTTTGATTATATGCTTGCTCGAATACTACTGCTTGAAGGTAAGAAGATAATGAATATTACGAAAAAGAAATATTTTTATATGAATAATATATTCTATTACGCTCTTTGTGATAGAGTTATTCGTTTAACATTATAATTATTGTAGTGAGGTGAAGAAGATCTTCCTTTTTCATTGATCAATTATCAATACTTATTTGTTTATCTTCTCAGGAATGGGAGAATAGCGATGCCGTGGCTATCTTCACGTACTTTATTTTATTGATATCTTTAACATTTAACATTCTAATCTTTTGTTACATCGGCGAACTCCTTGTGGAAGAGGTATTTTTTATAATATAAAAATTTTCTTATTAATATGTCTTATTAATTATGTCCTATTTTTTTAATAAATATTAACAAATATGATTATTTGAATATTTATATTTGATTAGTTTAGCAAAGTTGGCTCGGCTGCGTATGAACTTAATTGGTATGATTTACCAGGCCATAAGGCTGTTGATCTCATATTGATCATCACAATGTCTCAGTATCCACCTAAACTTACAGCTGGCAAGTTTTGCGATTTATCTCTTAATACTTTCAGTACCGTGAGTTTCATAAGTGTTACTACTTATTTTAACTATTTTCATATCTAACCTATTTTTTTCTTTTTTCATATAATGTACTATTATTGTTACATTATTAATTTAATATTTCCAAAATTCGTGTTGCTTTTAGGTGCTTAAAACATCCGTTGTGTATTTAAATTTACTTCGGACAGTGACGTAATAAAACTTACATGGTTCTGTTTATCATTCTTGATAACAATTTTGTTACATGTAGATATATATATATTTTCTCAAGAGATGTATAGAAATTGATAATAAAATAATGTGTATATATCATTTTCATGATTATTCATCACCTTAAAAGAAAAAATATTAATATATAAAATTAACTTATTAATACTATTTAATTTACGATTGATTTATCGTGAGATAAAAAAATATAAATGTTAAAAAAAATTATAATTTATTAGAAATTTACCTTAGAAAATAAACAAGAAAATAACTAAATTGTAAAACAATATCTAAAATATATGTTTATATCACATGTTACATATAGATAATATTTAAAAAAAATTGCAAAAATAGTTACTTCCAATACGTCACTCAAAAAATATCGAAACTATGCAATATGAGTAACTACATTAGAACTCATGAACTTCCTATCCCTTCCCACATCACTGACTGAGCCCTCGGATAAACTGTAACCAAGGGGGAAAGTCAATCACCTGCGTACGTATAACCTGAGTACATTGTCATATATGACAGACATGAAACGCACATGCACGCAATGCTGGAATCATTATTTCCCCGCGCTTGCGTCGCGAGACACAGCGGAGCGTCCGCGCAACGTCCGCGTGTTTCAGTCGTCGTTGCACTTCGCGAGCGACAGCATGCACGATCGATCCCGGCTTTCAGGAAAGAAATTCGAGGAGTACAATGTACACCAGGAGAACGACATACGTTATACCATGCAGTTGTGCCGGTGGGTCCTGAAACCGATCGGCATGTGGCACTTGATCTACGGCCACCCGTCACAGAGCGAGAGACTCATCTCGATAGCGTTGATCGTCACGTGCTTCTCCGCTCTGTGTTTCGTTCTAATACCTGCCGGACTGTACACTCTGTTCCGCGAGAAAAACATCAACATCAAAGTCAAGCTTTTCGGCCCGGTTGGCTTCTGCCTGACCAGCACGATCAAGTATTGTTACCTCGGTGCGCGCGCCGCTGCATTTGGAAAGTGCATTCGACATGTTGAAGACGATTGGCGGGTCATTCGGCATCAAGATCATCGCGAGATGATGCTGAAGAACGCGCTAATGGGACGTAGGCTTACCACGCTGTGTGTGCTCTTTCTTTACACCGGCGGACTGTCCTACCACACGATCATGCCGCTATCTTCCAGACGCAAGATCAACGAGAACTATACGATCCGACTGCACACCTATCCCGGTTATGATATATTTTTCGATCCCGGAGCCAGCCCCGCCTATGAGATTGTGTTCTGCATCCATTGCCTGTTTGCGCTGATCACGTATAATGTTACGACGGCGGCGTGCAGTTTAGCGGCGATCTTTGTGACACATGCGTGCGGACAGATACAAATACTGATGACGCTGTTAGACGACCTGGTCGATGGAAAATGGAGCAACGGCATGACGGTGAAAAACCGTCTGAAAGTGATCGCGAGGCACCACGTGCGACTATTGAGGTAAGTGGAAAATGCTACAGAAGTGTTCAAGTAAATACACGCGACGTTTTTTAGATTTTCGGACCGATACGTAACACGCTTCTAGATTTTCGAACAACGTGGAGGAAGTGCTACGCGAAATATGCCTGATGGAAATAGTGGCTTCCACCTTGATCATATGCTTGCTCGAGTACTATTGCTTAACGGTAGAAAAAGATACAAATAATATGTCCTTTTTAGAATTGGGTGTAAACTTATTTTACGTTAATGTGCAAAATTTAATTTACCTTTACAAGTTTTACCTCTATAAGTTTTGTCAAATAATACGCATCAAATGATATAGTCACATGTTTTACCATCCTAGGAGTGGAAAAACAGTGATGCTGTGGCGATCTTGACGTATTTCATCTTGTTAATATCATTCACATTCAATATTTTAATATTTTGTTATATCGGCGAACTCCTCGTGGAACAGGTATAATGATATTTTTAAAAAAATTTTTCATGGCTTTAATTATATTACATTAATCGGTTTAATTTTGCAATATAAAAAATTACAATAGAGAAAGAGAGAGAGAAGAAAAAATATAAATCTTATTATTAACATCTATTTTTAAAACAAGTTTAATATCTTTTGAATTGTTAAGATTTTAATCAAAATTTTTCAATATTTTCGGTATATGATTAGATGCAAATATGTACAATATGTACAATCTTAAAGTCTATAATTTATAGATATGAAGAAATTTAAATATAGAGACTTGCACGTGATACGAACACATCTGTATTATTTTATATTTTTATCAGTACAGCAAAATTGGTTTAGCTGTCTATGGAATTAATTGGTATAATTTATCCGGGAATAAAGCTCTCGGTCTTACGTTGATCATCGCGATGTCTCATTATCCGCCTAAACTCACAGCTGGCAAAATTGTCGATTTATCCATTAACACTTTCGGTGCCGTGAGTTTTTTACACATATTATTGTTACCACTCACTTAATTGTTATGGAACGTGATTATTAACTTATTTTCTTACATCTTATTTTTACAGTTCTAAGATTATTATCATTTTCAGGTACTCAAAACATCAGTAGTATATCTAAATCTACTTCGTACGGTTACGGAATAGAATTATATTCCATGTATCAAAGCCTATATTATTTAAATTTTGTCATATAGATATATTTTTATTATAATAGCTATTGTGCAGAATAATTAATATTAATAAACTAACTATAAATTATTCAAAATATTTATACTAGATGAATGCCTTCATCATGTAATAACATAAATTAAAAAAATATTTATTTGTTAAATATTTAACAGAAACATACATTTCTCTGATGTTTGTTCTACTTTTCAGTCATCAAATTATATTTTATTTCGCACCAACCGAAAAGTATTTTTAAACTTAAAGTAACACGTAGCCATTTTTACACAATAGAACAATCATCTTTGCAGATGATCCTATAAACTGAAGCTATACATCACTACTATAAAGTCGATTTTTCAAGCATGTTGCCATTCTCCTTTCCCTTTCTTCTTTTTTTGTCTTCCCTAATATGCTGTCAAAAGTAGTTGTGGTCATGCGCAAATTTTCTATTGTCTCACTACAATCGATATGGTATAAGCCAGTTGTTCGACACGGCAATATGAGCAAAATAACAATGTGATCTAATGTGAGCTATAAGAAGGATATTATCGATATGCTCATATGGAATCGGTTACTGCGAATCTTTGGGATTTGGCCATTAATATACGCAAATACCACAACGATTGAGAAGATTCTAGCGACTTTCTTGTTTGCGTCATGCTGGACGGTACTCAGTTTATTTCTGATACTCATCAGTATATACACCTTCACGGACCAAAGTATTATGAACGAGAAGATGAAGATGGCCCGCTAAACTACGTGTTCTTCTCCATACTGAAATATCTTTTCCTGCTAGTACGTAGTACTAGAATATCCGAAATGCTTCAGGTCGTCACTATAGGCTGGCGCATGGTTCAAGAGAAATATCATCGAGAAATCATGATCAGAGACGCGGAGAAAGGCCATTTGCTATCCAAAATTCTGTATAATGTTCATGTATTATGGCGATTTGTCCTACAACACGGTAATGCCTTTCCTATCGAATTCACCTGACGCAAACGAGTAAAACTTTACCATCCGACCAATGGTTTATCTCGGCTTCGACATTATCTTCAATTTGCAATTAATGCCGATTTATGTGTTTGCCTTTACCCTACAATGCTTTACTGGTGTCGTCATGTTCAACATCACCACGTCGGTGTGCTGCTTAGTGACTATGTTCGTCGCTCATGCATGTGGCCAGATTAACATCGTGATAGTTCGAGTGGAGGATCTTTTCAAGATAGACTAGTAAAGGAGAATCATATAAAATTTGAGAAATGCATAGCGATTATCACGTGCAACATCACGTACGACCATTGAGGTAAGTACTATTATTCCATTTTACTGATTAATTATCTATACTTTTTAAGAAAGATATCTGCACAATAATATAGTCTGAATTTTTTTGCGAATTTTTTTACTAATAATATATAAAACATTATTCAAAATATTATCAGTCAATAAAAAATTATGTTTAACTTTCTTTAAAAATATTTGGCAGATATTAAACTGTGGCACTTTATAGATTTTCAGCTAGTATTGAAAAAAACTTTGCGCGAGATATGTCTAGTAAAGGGAACGATGTTGATAATATGCTTGGTAGAATATTCTCTGATAACGATAATTAAATATTTCATATTTACTCAAACAGTAACGCAAAAATTTGTAAAACTCTAATTATATTTCCCGTCACAATATGTGAAATGATATTCCATTCGTAGGAGTGAGAACAATAGCGACAGTATAGCGATCTTCACATACTTTTTTCTATTCGTTTCATTCGTCTTCAAAATATCTTTATATTTTGTTATATTGGCAAATTATTGACGAAGCAGGTGCTTATGTTTAAATTTTACATATTTAATTACCATGATTTCGCAGAATTTAATTTTGGCCAATTCTAAGTATTTAAATAATATACACCATTGATTTAAACAAATATAAAAGATTGGATATATAGTGCAATAAAGTCGGGAATACGAAGGACATACCTATAATACTTCGTACAAAATTGAGTATAACTTACCGGAAAAAATTGCTCTTAATCTAATGTTAATGATCAATATATCTCGACACTCAATACAAATTACCGCTGGAAGATTAATAAATCTTTCTTTCGCAAATTTTGGAAACGTAAGTATTGTTTATTCTAATGTTAGAAATAAAAATATATTAAATTGTAGAGATTGAAAATAATTAGATTTAAATTTTAATATAATATTGCAGTGCGTTTTATAGGCTGAAAACGTCAGTCGCATATTTAAACTTGCTTCGTACTGCCGTTTGATATAACAATGCAATCATTCTAATCATCTTTGATGCAAAAATCATTAATAAATATTTTTAAGGTTTACATATGTTCAAAGTATGTTAAATAAATCATTTAATGCATAAATCTATAAGAAATTAATTTAGATTTTAAAATTAACAAGAAGTAAATAGTTATACAGAGTATATACAGATATTTATCTATATGTTTTCAAAAGATACATAACAGTAATATATTTATACTATATTACTTTCTATCAATTGAAAATCTCCAAATATTTTTAGAGACCCCAAATATCAACTTATTATGAAGATATAACACTCAATTTTCTTGCTTTCATTATTTTACAGAGTAATATTATTCAATCTAAAAAGGGATTTGTTCACTCGATGGAAAAATAAACGAAAAACAGTTTTACATATCGCAAAAAAACTTTCCTTTCGATATGACTGTGAGAACAATACTTCCCTCGAGACAAAATTGATTTTCAAACGCACGCATGCTATCCTTCCCCTTCCCCGTCATCATTACTTCGTTCAAAGCATCTATAGCGCATCTATAGCATCATGCGCAATTTTTTACTGTGCACGCAATCGACAAGGTACACCAGTCGTCCTCGCGCCATCGACACAGTAGTATGGCCAAGCTTAATATCTCCTGGTCAAATGTGAACTGCGAGAGGGACATACTCAACACGTTGATATGGAATCGGTGGATACTACGAGTCCTCGGAATCTGGCCGCTGGTATATCCGGATACCTCGACGATCGAAAAGATCCTAGCGAGCATCTCGTTCGCGTTTTGCTGGTCCGTACTCAGTTTCCTTCTGATTCCCCTGACCATCTTCACGTTTTCGAAACACAGTGCCACGTATGACAGGGTAAAGATGCTGGGTCCGCTAGTCTACGTATGCATCTCGATGCTAAATTATCTCTTTCTCGTGATTCGCCATAAGAACATTCGGCAATGTATTCGCGTCCTCAGTACAGATTGGCGCGTGGTACAGCAGGAGGATCATCGAAAGATCATGATTAGGAACGCGGCGAAAGGCCATGTGTTATCCAAGTTTTGTATAGTGTTTATGTACTGTGGGGGTTTGTCGTATCACACCCTGATGCCATTCCTGTCGCATGCCCCTACCGACGAACAAAATGGCACTGTCAGACCACTGCCCTGGAAAGGCTTCGATAGCATTTTTGATCTGCACTTTATGCCGGTCTATATTTTTGTTTTTTGCGCACAATGTTGCTCTGGTATTGTCATGTTTAACATAACCACGGGAGTGTGTTGCTTGGCAGCTATGTTTGTAGCTCATGCTTGTGGCCAAATCGAGATCGTAATGGATCACATAGAAAACTTTATAAAAAGTGTACAAAAGAGTCCCAAGCAACGTATGGCAGTCATCATAAAACATCATGTGCAGATATTGAGGTGAGTGCTTGTGGTAAATTGTTGTAAAAAAAGTTCTCTATATCAGATCTACCTAATTGTTTAAACTGAGTATGTACAAACTGCAGATTTATAAAAATGTATATAAAAAACAATAAAATTTAATGTGCATAAATCTAAAGAGAGTTACTCTGTTTAAATAGAGTTTAATATATATTTAGCTTCTTTGAATTATACTCAATAATACCTTACAAACATTAGGAAAAAAATTTGCTAAACGAGATAAAAGATCTACATTAAAGAGTTTTGCAGATTTTCAATCAGCATTGATAGTATTTTACGCGAAATATGTCTGGTTGAAATAGTGGGATCAACAATATGTATATGTACACTGGAATATTATTGCATGACGGTAAAAAATTATAAATAGTTAAAAGATTAGTGAGTAAGAAATATATTCACATTCTTATATTTCTCTTATATTTCTTCTTATATTTCTTAACATTAAAAATAATATTAATAATTAATATTTTTGAATTTTTTTACATTGTAATTTTATATTTTTCTAAAGAAGTAAAAAAAATTCACAATATAAAAATACGTAAAATTAAATCTTTAAGCTAACGAGAAAAGTAAAATTAATGATTAAATGTTATGCTATTTTCATAGGAATGGAACAATAACGACAGCATAGCAATTTTGACATATTTGTTTCTATTGGTATCATTTGTCTTTAACATTTTTATGTTTTGCTATATTGGTGAACAGTTAACAGAACAGGTGTTTATATTGAAATTGTTACAATAAAAAGTAAATTAAATTGAATATTAAAACATTTGGATATTGCTAATTACGGAAATGATGTATGCAGATAGCATATACATAAAGATTAAATCTTTAGTGCAGCAAAATCGGATATTCTTCATATGAAATCGAGTGGTATCGTTTACCAGGAAAAATCGCACTCGATCTTACGTTAATAATCAGCATATCTCATCGTCCGATAAAAATTACCGCAGGAAAATTAATCAATCTCTCGTTCTCTAGTTTTGGCAACGTAAGTACAATTTATTTATTTAGAAAGTAAAAAGATATATTAAAAATCACTATAATATTTATAATGTTTACAGGCTATAAAAACTTCGATTGCGTATTTCAACTTGCTGCGAACTTTTGTTGATTAAAAAATATTTTACTTCTGCTTCAATGGACAAATTTATATTCAGTAAAACTTCTTTATTGAAAAAATTTATATATGAATGAACGTATTCCGAAATATACACGTATTTTATAAATATTTCATTAAATGCACAGTCAATAAGTAAAATAACAAACTCATCTTAAATTAAAATTTTGTAAAAATACATCAAAGTGCAATTCATGTATTTATGACTTTTTCTTTGAAATTTTTTCTACCACTATAAAATATAAAAAATTAAAAAAGAATTTAAATTTCATTTGTATCGTATTCTTAAATGCTCAATTTCGCAATGCTCATTTCAAAATATAAACGTAACAAATAAAATATAATTTTTTAATAATAATGCATTAATGTTTTTCAAATGCATTTTCATTTTATATTAGTAATTAATGTTCATTCTGAATTTTAATTCAATTTAACATTTTCAACATTCAAAGAATTAAAAATACGATTGAAATAAGTTTAACTTAGTACGTTGTTTTCAAAGAATGTGTTTTTGTATTAGCGTTTCAAACAAATGCTTTACGTAACGTTAATCAGGCAAAATCAGATTATAGACAATGAGTTATGTATAGAAGGATATCTGCAATGTGAGTATATATATTCTTGTATGCCACCTATACCTCTTCAAGTAAATGCGACAAAAAGGATTTCAATCATTAGTTCGAATATCTTCAGTTCGAATGTCTTCAAGTTGAACAATTGGATTTTGGGTTCGATCTGTATTTAGGATCTCAATTCGTGGACATTCTTCCAAAATTGCATGCCAGGTAATCACGTGTTAAGTTTCACAATGATAGTCTGTCCCCTAAATATCATTAATTATGACACAGACATTTGTCTATATGTTTTTGATAAAATGTTTTATACGATATATATATATTTCTTTCTAATAAAACAATGTCCTCATATATTTTACTTTTAAAATACCAAATAGCTATTTATTAAAACACGAGATTCACTTTTTCTGCTTTCATAAATCGTTCTATTTTAAATAGCACCATATTACTAATCCAAAAAAGGATTCAATCACTCAGTGGAAAAATACACGGAAAACAATTTTACATACTGCAGAAAAACTTTCCTCACGAGTGGTAATATGTCTGTGAAAAAGATTCCCCTCGAGACAAAATTGATTTTCAAACACACGCATGCTATTCTACCTCTTATCTTTCTTTATTTTATTCAAAGCATAACGGTCATGTGCAATTTTTTACCGTCACGCGACCGACAAAATACAGCAGTCGTCCTCGCGCCATCGACACGGTAGTATGGCCAAACTTAATATCTCCTTAAATGTAAACTGCGAGAGGGACATACTCAACATATTGATATGAAGTCGAATACTACGAGTCCTCGGAATTTGGCCGCTGATATATCAGGATATCTCGATGATCGAAAAGATCCTGGCGATCATCTCGTTCGCTGGTTCGCGCTCAATTTTCTCCTGATTCCCATGGCCATCTTTACGTTGACCAAACACAGTGCTATAGATATTAAGGTAAAGAATCCGATAGCCTACGTAAGCTCGATCTCGATGTTAAATTATTTCTTTCTCGTGATTCACAACAACATTCGGCAATGTATTCGCGTCCTCAGTATACATTGACGCGATCAAGAAGATCATCGAAAGATCATGATTAGGAATGCGGCAAAAGGCCATGTGTTATCCAAGTTTTATATAGTGTTCACGTATTGCGGGGGTTTGTCTTATCATACCATGATGCCAGATTCCTGTCAAATCCTCCCATCGACGAGCAGAATGTCACTATCAAGCCAACACCTTATCCAGGCTTCGATCATTTTTGACATGTACTTCATGCCGATTTCTATTTTTATCTTTTGCGCACAATGGTTTGGTGATATTGTTATGTTTAGTGTCACTACAGCAGTGTGTCGCTTGGCAGCTATGTTCGTAGCTTGTGGTCAAATCGAGATCGTGATGGATCGCATAGAAAGCTTTATAAAAGGTGCACAAAATAATTCCAAGCAACTTATGGCAATTATTATAAATCATCATGTGCAAATACTGAGGTGAGTGTTGATTGCCGAAAGAGTTTTCTGTATTTAAATCTAATCATTTAAACTGAGAATTTATAGATAGATATATTTAAAACAAATTAAAAAATATATATAAAATAAATAAAAATAAAAGTTTTCTAAATTCTATAGATGTAAAGAGACTGAGTTACTGTATAAACAGAAATTAATATATATTTATAAAGTTTTTCTTTATTAAAAAGAAGATTTACGTTAAATGAATATATTCCAACATAATGTACACATACATAATTTTATAAATATTTCATTAAATGCACATATCAACATGTGAAGTATTTACTATAAACTTTATTAATTGTAATACATAACTTCAAAGTGCAAATTTTGTAATATTTTAAAGTGCAATATTTCATATATTTGTGACAACTTTTTCTTTGATAAACTTTTTCAACTATGAGAAAAATCTGTAAAGAAATATCTAACTCTAAACTTTATTTACCTTATTAAATACTCAATCTCTCAGTTACAGAATTTAAACGTTGCAAACAAAATATGATTTTTTGGTAATATCTGCACACTTGTTTCTCAAATGGATTTTTATTTTATATTAATGATCTATATTTTGCATTTTAATTCAATCTTACATTTTCATCATTCAAAAAACTGAAGGTAGGATAGAAAAAAGTATGTTTTTCGTATCGGTTCCCTGCAAGAAGCAATACGTTTTTATGCTCGTGTTCCGTACAAACGCTTCACGCAATGTTAATCGTGCACAGTCAGACTGTTCACGGTGAGTTACGACGTGCAGACAGAAGGATGTGAGCGCAAGCGCAAGTCCAACAACCTTGTAATCAATGCCGCGCGTCCGCCTCGTGCAGTTTTCAACAGTCGGCGTCGTCGCGAACATGCCAGGTGCACGCGACGAAAAGGATCCGAACCATCAGCAAGACATTCGATATGTTTTCAAGTTGAACAATTGGATTCTGGGCTCAATCGGCATTTGGCCGATCTCAATCCGTGGCATCGGACGACACGTGTCCAAAGTCGCGATCGTGTTCGGTAATTTCACGTTAAGTTTCGCGATGGTACCTTGCGCTCTGCACATCATCTACGACGAGAAGAACATCATCATGAAACTGAAGCTATGCGGTCTGATGGCCTTCTGCCTTACCGCAATGACGAAGTATTGCATCCTTGTAATACGTCGTCCTAAGATATTACGCTGTATCGAATGCATAAAGAATGATTGGTGGCAGGTCGGTGTTGCTAATTAACATAACGTAATGTGCACAATATAATGTTGA